CTAGACCCTAATTGGGTTGGCCCAAATCCAATCCCAATTACATGCTAACTACGATTCCTAAGACATATTCTAAGCTAAACAAATCCCTATGTCAATTCTTCCGGCGAGCTTCCGGCGATCTTCCGATGAACCTCCGACGAACTCTCGGCAATGTTTCGGTGGACTCCTGGCAAGCTCCTAGACTTCACGACGATCTTCTTGGTGAGTTCCGACGAGCTTCTCTAGCAAGCTCCGTGACTTCTCGGCTGGTTCCTATAGAACTTCCGACGAACGTCCGGACTTGCGACGAACTCCCAACGTGATCTCGATCTTGACTTCGGGACTTCATTTTGCTTCATGTCTTGCTATCATAGTAAATCCTGCACATGTAAAACATACTTCTATATAGACAATTAATACTAAGCATTAATCAAGTTGTCCGATATGTCATTGGTCCCTCGACGCTTCCTCCGATTCTTCGACGCATCGTCCACTCCTGCGGCCTATTGCCCAATCGATCAATTGACTCCGCAACTCCGATATCCTTGGCGCAACGTCTGCTCTTCTTGGCCTGATGCCTGAATCCATGGCCCGAAGCCTTTTGTCAATACATCGACCGATCCACCGGCCCGACGTCCAATCTTCTGACATGTTCCTCTGGCCCTACATGATTTTTCTTGCTTTAATTGTCTCATCCTGATCGAAGCATCCTGTGTCATTCAAAATGCAGATTAAAACATAAACACATATTGATTAGTTTCATCATCAAAATATGAGATTCAACAGCCACCACTAGACCATGCTACATGCCACTGAATGAGACAAACAACGAGCCTAATTCAACCCTAAATCAGGCCCAATTGGCTCCTAATTGAGTTAGTAGGATTACTCCTAAAACTAACTCAAATTAAGATCTAACTACGATAATTAAGACTTAAACAATTACAAAACAAGAAGCTAAGTTATCCGGCACATCATTTGTTCATCCAAATTCCTAACGAACTTCTGGCACATCGTCCGAACCTTCGGCGTATCGCCCAATCCATCGATATGTTGACTCTCGCAACATCCGATCTTAGCACAATGTCCTATTCTTTCGACTCGATGCTCATTTTCTAACTCTAGCCCAACGTCTGATTTTTCTTACTTCAATTATTTTATTTTTTTTATGATCGTGATCCTGTATCATTTTTCTCAAAACATGGATTCAATCATAAACTCAACAATTGATTTCTTCATCAAAATCCAAGATTCAACGGTATTAGTTTAGAAGCTCAAATATCAAAAAAATATTTTGTGAATCAAACATATTTTGATGAAATTAACTTGGAGAAATAAAAAAATTATAAACATTGCATGGATCAAACATATTACAAATTGTTCAGGTTCTAAATAAATCGAACAATATTGAAAAACTCTATAAATTAAAAAAAGGGTGACAAAAATTAATCTCAATACAATGCATGCTTTTCTAAAAATTACAAGGTATTTGGACCAATCGTCATATATATATGATACACTGTTCTTTGGTTTGACCTTAAAAAATAGTGTATTGGATATCAAGGCTTCAAATTTTTTGACCAAATTTCTATCATAGGTTTTTCATCTACTTAAAAGTTCAAATATTAAAAAAATATTACATGGGTCTATCATGTTTTGGTGGAAATGAAAAAAAATAGAGAAAATAGAAAATTATAAACTATTTAGATTCTGAATAAATCAAAATTATTAATAATTATATAAAATAAAAAATTAGAGATGTAATTTATTAAAAAATATAATATAATTTACTATTATATTATCGATAATAAATGTTGATTTTGTGGCATATTTTGAGGTCATTTATTGATTGTGACATTTTATCTCAGGATTTAGTGTGATTAATTCAATTATCGAGCTGCTAAAGATCTTTATGATAATATTATAGTACTTATTTTCTTTAAGAATAATAAATACTCTAACTATTATATATCTATCAAGATAAAGTACTTAATGGTCAAAGAAAATTTCATAAATAACTATTGTTGATTGAGAACTTGATATTGTTTCAATTCATTAATGCCTTAAGATATGGTTGGACATTATAATTGATATTTTTGCTTATGAAACTAAAATTATTTATTATTCTTTTATATATATTTGTAAATGTATATGCTATAGTTAAATATGACAATAGGATTGTCTGATAAGATTACAATGGTAATTATGGTAGGTTAAAAAAGTAAGATATTAATCACCTACAATCATTATAGGTCATATTAATAGTCAGTTTTAATATATCATTATTGTATTTTTGGACTTATTGATTTTTTCTAAATTCGCATATGTATAAAATATTTTAAAAAATTTTAAAATCCATTGAGCAAAGTTATTTCAAACAAACTTATTGTATTTATTATTGTGATACACCAGCCAATTATATTTAATTTGACTAAAATATCTCATTGACTAGACCTAATTTTTTACTTTGACTTGGTTTGATTAATGACTAAACAATCGAATTATAAATTAATATTTTAATTTTCTTGCCAAGAGCTGGAAATCATTAAATTTATTTAAAGACTTGTTTCCTTTTATTGTGATAATTTATTATCATTATTCTGATAAATTAGGTCTTGACCAATAAATTAGTCAAGACCTAATTTAGAAAGGAAAAGGATAGGTTTGTTATATAAGTTTCCTTGTACTGTGAGAAAACCCTAAATATTTTTTAGCTACGGAATTGTAGTGGGAGGTGGCTGCCATCATACATCGCGCTTCTTACCCATCTTTTCTCCTCCCTCGATCACATACAGATCGAGTCGCTCTCTATGAGAGTCTATGAGAGAAGGCATGATCTATGAGATCTTTGAGGTGGGAGAGAATGATGATGTTGGCACAAAGATGTGACTCTTGGAAACCATGTCTTGACTAAAACAACTTGGAAGAAAGTGTTTTGTTATTTGAAACTCCTTTTGGACCCCCTTGTTGTTTAGTTTTTAACAAGAAGTTGTTTTGGGTTGGCTGATATATTTAATAGCTTCTGCAGAATTCGATTAGATAGGTAATATAAGGTTACGACAATACGGCTACTGTGGACGTGGATCACCAATGCACCGAGTTTTTGTTTCTGCCACTAAAATGTCCAAATTTAATGGTTTCAAATGAGTGGCATTAAATTGCATGGTCAAGGGTCACTAACCATGGAATCATTAATGATGTTGTTGAGTTCATAGTGCACCCTATCAGGGCTCATCTCGTGCATAAAGTAGTACTGGATATCTATAATAGAGTATATAAGGAGGACATTGTGAAAGATATGAATCCAAAACCTGTACATTAGAAAGGAGAGGAGAGGTGTGGAAGGGAAAGATAATGTAAAGTTGGCTATGTTGTTTTGACTATTAGGATGGAAGCCATGTTAGGGTGGGTAATCTAAGAATTTTGGTGCTAACCTAAGGTTGTTCGTCCCAGTTATTATTACTCGAGCTTCAACCGAGGATAACCAAAGAAATCTCTTTCAATAATAGCGATGATGGCCTAGACAGACTTCAACTTTGGATTTCAGGTAAGTGGCTTGCCAACCTGAATAGATTTTTTTTCTGAAATTATATTTTTATTATTATTTTAAATAGTAGAAAACAAGGATAAGTATGTGTTTTGCTGTTTAGATATGATAATATTTTATATGCTTTGTTTTAAATATGATTCATATTTTTAATGTTGATATCATGATATGCTAGTTATTAAACTGTTGTTCATGTATGATTATTTTATTCATAAATTAATATTTTAGTCATAAATTAATGTGTCAAAATGCACACGATTTAAGCAAGTGATAAAAAAAAGACACACACACACACATAGTAACATTATAGTAAGAATTAATAAAAAAAATATATTATCAAATGATTTTCCAACATGAGAGCATTACATAGCAATGTCATCAACCACTTATGAAATCTGTATCCATTGAGCCAAGTCAAGTTCGCTGGGCTTCAACATGATTATAGATCCTCAAAAGAACAATGGTATAGTCGATAATTATATAGAGGTAGATTATTTTGGATGAAGCACTTTTATTTGCTTATATGAATGAGGCTCATATATAATATCGACCATACCAAGTTTTACTCAACTATTGGTTAAATTAGTGGATTAATTGGTCAAACCATAAGTTCAATAAATTATTTTAAAAATATGATATAATTATATATATTATGTTATAATAAATATTATAAAATATTTTTTATAATGTAGCCAACAATAATGATAAAAGGAATGACGAGAACAAAAATATTACAGGAGGATATAGTAATAATATTTGATTCGAAGGTGCCGACTAATTAATCCAGTAATTTGATTCAAACGTATCGAGAACTAAATATCATTATTATTATTTTTATTATTATTAGACTGTTTGAAGATTCAAGTTGCAATTCCACTTGCCTTCTTTTTTTTTTTTGTCCCGACGAATCCAGTCCAAATTTTATGGCTACATTTGTTCTCAATATCAAGCATGTAAGATGTGACACTATATTACCCTTTATATATATATATATATATATATATATATATATATATATATAT